TTTTTTTTGTTCTTAAGATTATTCTAAAGATAAACTTATTGCTGTCAAGATAGGCTTTAAAAAAACATGGGTGTCTATGCAGTAGAGATGTGTATTTTTTCATTTTTTTTATTTGTGCTACATGACAGAAAAAGATGCTTTTAACCCTCATGTTGTGTTCCGGTCATTTTGACCCAGAGGGGATTTTATTTTTCCTGAAAACGCTAGTTATGAGACTAAAACCTACTGTATCGCATTAGACTAAAACCTACTGTCTGTGCTCACACAGGGTATAATAACAACCCAACCCAACTTTTTTGGGACTTTTTTTCCCACCTTGTTACACTTGTGCTGTCAAAAATGACCAGACCACAAAAATTTACTTATGTCTTATGCTATATTATTACCAAATATTGGATTCAAACTTTTTTAATCAACTTTTCTTAAAAGTTATGAAATTATCAAAGGTTTTTTATTTCTTTTTACAACCATTTTACTCTAGGCCTCATTCATGTGAGCTAATTCACCTCAGTTTTTGAGTGAATATTTACAAAATTACAAAATACACAAATAATGCTTTTTTTCTTCTCAAAAACAGAGGTGCATGAGTTTAGATCAGCTAGGCCTACAATTAATAAGTTCCAAAAAATCATTAGAATATTAAGTAAAGATCATGTTTCATGAAGATATTTTGTAAATTTCCTACTGTAAATATATCAAAACTTAATTTTTGATTAGTAATATGCATTGCTAAGAACTTCATTTGGACAACTTTAAAGGCGATTTTCTCAGTATTTGGATTTTTTTGCACCCTCAGATTCCAGATTTTCAAATAGTTGTATCTTTGCCAAATATTGTCCTATCCTAACAAACCATACATCAGGGGAAAGCTTATTTATTCAGCTTTCAGATGATGTATAAATCTTAATTTAAAAAAATTGACCCTTATGACTGGTTTTGTGGTCCAGGGTCACATTTGAGACTTAACCTAATTTTAACCTGTGCTTCCTCTGTGTAACAGGAAGGTTATGGACCGTAACCAGAGGGAGAGATGGGTGTCTAACAACACGTACTGGGAACTGCGCAAGGACCCTGGCTTCCTCAAACTAGAAAGCCCTGAGCTGTGGTAGATCCAGATACCTGTGCTGATGACGCCTTCACTGCTGACTGCAGATGCTTACTATGCAGAACAGGAGCAGCCTGGGACTTCCCTCTAGATTTGGATTTTATCTCCAGTAACAGACTGAGAAAAACAACAACAAACACTCTCTCCTCATCACTTCGGCAGGCTCCGCCTCCATAGTCTCCCTCTCCATAGTAACAGAGAGACAGTGCTGTTGTCAGGGCAAAAGTGAGAGCTGTAGAGCTGTCCACATGAAGCCGGTCGTGCTTCCTGTTAAGTCCTTGCCTTAAGAATTCGCTTCTCAACAACGTTTTACGCTTTTAGTGAAATTCCCTCAACTTCTTGGTTTAGATGGACTGAATTTGCTCTTAATTACATTCTGCATGTGTAGATGGCAGCTTTCATCGCCAATGTGCTACACGAACTCATCGAAACTACATTTAGACAATTTTAGTGGTATTTTTGTAAACGACCAAAAGAAGGGAATTGCTTTGGCAGTTAAAGCTGTGCCGTGACTCAATCTGTCCCTCTTCATATTTGACGGCAGCCATCAGAGGGGCGGCTCAGTGTGCTGAACATGTGACGGTTTTATAATTGTGCGCTCCACCTTTCAAACCCTGAAAGAGAGTTCCTGGACCCAACCTGCAACACTGTGCAGCAAGACCACAAAAGACACCCCAGGACTCAGACTCCTGAATCTCTGTAGCTGCAACTGTACATTAGCGCTCTTAATTTAAAGCAGAAGTGTGACATTTATGCTCCTCTAATTGCACCAAATCAAATTCAAGAAATTATTTTTTCCAAGCAGGTTCTACAAGCACTCGCCACCTTCAGAAAAACTAGTCAGTGCCCTGCGAAACAGATTATTACAGCTAGTTTTTGCCCTGAAGTCATGCCATTGGTTGAGCCAGAAGTCAGACGCTCACTGCATTTAAAGGGATAGTTCACCCAAAATTAAAAACCAGTTGTTTTCTTCCCCTCATGTCATTCCAAACCCATTTCAATTAGTTTGAAACGCAGTATTTGTAATAAACCTGAGCAGTTTCTGTCCTTCCATTTACAATTTCAGGTAACCAAAACTTGTAAAAGTTGTAAGTCGTTGTAAAACAAGCTTCCATGTTTACCATATTTTATGTGCTCTATGTATGTGTCGATCACTGTTTAGATGTAAATAAAAGTAAAACAATTTGCAGTTCATCATATCAAATAGCCATATCTCTAAAGAAGATTTGGATTAAAATGCTTGATAGCTTTATGACGCCTTTTTTTTTTTTTTTTTTTTTTTTTTTATTTTTGGT